TTGAATTCCTACTGCTTTCCAACACACAGTCTCTGCTCCAGTCGGGTTGGGCCTCCTCACTAATCCCACTCTTCTCCTATGTGTTGTCCAGCTCAAACCCCATCTCCTTTCCTCTACAAAGGCTTCCTCATCTTTTCCAGCCCTTCAGTGAAACAGTTCCCCTCCCAACTCTAACATTCCATTCACACATCACTATAGTGCAGAGAAGCCTGTTTGGTGTTCTGTGCTTTACTACTATGGCAGGCAGTTTTCTAGTATTAGTTCTGTTAATGACACTTGGAACTTCTGGATGGCCCAAATTAGGATTTACACACCTTTGTAACCCCCAATGCCAAGCCTAACACAGGGCCAATCCCCAGTAAAGACAGGTGAATGGATTGCCTACAGACACAGCTACCCCAACATTTGGGGTCCAGAGATTGAAGGGAAAGCACAAATGGGAAGTAATGAGGCTGCCTACTTGTAGGGGCTACCATTTAAATAACTGTATTCCAAACCCCCACCTCCATTGTAGGCTCCTTGAGGCCTAGGACTTAAAACTTATGTCTTCAGTATTTGCCTACGGCACAAAGCCTTGCCCACATTCAGTAGCCTCCTATGTCTGAAGTGCTTTATGGTTTTCCTAGAGGTTTGCTGTTAATTACATTCCATTACTGATCCCCACAAGAACCCTGGGAGGCTGAAAATGGAATTCAATGGACAGCTCCTGAGATCATAGGTTTAGAGGTGGAAGGTCCTTTAATGCAACCCCTTGTTTTACAGATGAGGAAGCTGAGAAATTAAAGCAAATAGAGAAGTTAAGTGACTTGCTTGAGGTCCTAAGTGGCAAAGGCAAGATTCAAACTCCAGGCTTCTGAATACCTAGGTGACCTCTGGCAAGTCACTTGGGTCTCAGTTTCCTCATCTGTAAAATGAGAGAGTTGAACTGGATGACCTCTCAGGTCCCTTTCACCTCTAAAGACTCCATAACCCCAAATTCAAACTCTTTCTACTGTTACATGTTTTGGACACTGAGTCTCAGAAAAATTGAGCAACATTTCCAAGGTTACAACAGCTGTTAAGTGGCGGAGATGGGGCCAGAATCCAGGTCTCTTGACTCCTCTTCTAGTGCACTTTCCATCAGAGCTTTGTCTCTTGTACATAGAACATCTGTCCACACTAGAATTCTATGAGAGCAGGAACTATGTCTCATACATTGGCCTTCCTTAGCCACTGGCATGAGGTTTAATCCACCTTTGTTGGGTTGAATTGACATATAAGTGGATGTAGGGAAACTTGAGATAACATTGATCTGTCTGTCTGTGGATGGCCTGGTGGATCTCCAGTAATCAGCTCCTGGGTCTGTTTTCTTCTTCCATGGTAACTATAAGATCTGGGCAGGAGCCCAAATAACAACAACAACAACAAAATATAGGAAGAAAAGCTGGGGAGGGAAAAAGTGATTTGTCTAGAACTGTCTCCCATGTTCTTGTACTAACTATCCTGCATACTTCAGTGGAAACTATGCTGGAGTTAGGAGATGGTCATGGTCCTGACTCTGCCACTGTTGGTAAGTCACAGTACCTCCCTAACGTTTACAATAGTTTCTCCATCTGTGAAATGAGAGAGTTTGGGCTAGATTTCAAAGTTCTATTACAGCTCTCAGAGGTTGATTTTATAATTCTGAGATGCTAACAGGAAGGTGGTGGGAAATCAACGAAGATTCCTCACCCTCAGATTCTTCTAAAGATCGTTGAACACCAGGCTCCCCTCTCACCTATCCTTTTGAATCCTCAGTGGCAAGAAATCCCCACTGCCTTCGTGGAATTTAGAAACACAGTAATAACACTGAAGCAAAATCAATTTGATTTAAGTAAAGATGGGGGTAGGTTATGGAAAAGAGGTAAACAAAAACATCCAGGTTTTCATCACATGGTAACTCCAGGAGAATTCCCAAGAAATTCCCATTTCAAATTCCTATTCAAATTCCCCCAACTGCTACTCAGGATACAAATCTATTCTCAGGTGGGCTGAGGTCTTCTTTCCAGATGTCTAAAGCTCATCGACTTCCTGTACCCCGAATAGTAAGTCCCAGGCATGAAACACCCTAGGATGGGAGTGAGGAGGAATGAAAAGTACCCAGAATTCATTGTGTGAGGATGTAGGGGCTCCTGCATATGGAAAAACTAGGGCTGATCTCACTCCCATAGCCAAGCTCAGAAAAAAGGCCTAGGAGGTTAAAGCTGGGAGGACACTTAGAAATCATTTTCTTCCAACCAGTTCATTTTAAATATGGGGAAACTGAGGTTTAAAGACATTAAGTGACTTGACAAGGTCACAGAACTAATGACAGAATTGAGTCCCTTGATTCTCAATCCAGGTTCTTTCTACCCTACTTCAATACCATTGTGAACCTTAGAAACCTTAGGTAGCCAGTGCCTACCCATCCCCTTCCCCATCCTTTCCCCAGCTCAAAATGTAGTGATGAAGGAAAGAAGACCGTCCAGAAGAGTCTCCGGCAATGCTAGCTAGCCTCTAGCTTTTGATCTTTTCTCATACCCTTTGAGGAACTGAATCCAACTTAATCATCTTTTGTTCTAGGGGGAAAAGGGGAGTGGAAGGAACAAAGAGGGAGGGGTTTGTATAACTGCACAAGTTTTAACGTTTGCTTTCAGTGAATTTAATCTGCTTGGATCTATAACACCTACGATTACGAATGCCTTAAAATATCACTGCTAATAGAATAACAGCACTTGTCTCTTGTAGACCGCCTTTCATCCAAGCATCTCAAATGCTCCTTGAACATTAATTAATTAAGCCCCAATTAAATACTTATCATTGACTGAAAATATATTTACTGCAGTACATTCAATTGGCTATTGCTTTGCTGCAAATGGTTTAACAGACCTGCCTTACTGCATTTGAAATAAAGACAATAAAATATGAGCCTTGTAGAATAAATTTGGCCCCTAGCAACAAAGGCATAACTCCCAGGGAGACTGCTCAAGGACATCAGTTCTGACAATTTTTCAAGACATCTTCAATCTCAGCCATCTTCTCTTGTCTGTCTACTTTCTTTGAAGCCCGAAGCTCATTGAAAGGGGGCCTTTCTCTGCAAGGTTGCCATATTCCCACAATGCTTCAGGACCAGAGATTCACTGGGACTCTCTGGGGAGAGTCCAGAACTATTATGCCCCAGGAGGTTTTTCATGGGCATATAGAGTGGGAACATCTCTGAGGTAAGAGGTTCAGAAAGTATAGTCTGAAAAGCCAGGAAGTAGGTGGGAGTTGGGGAGGAGACTGCATCTTCCTCAAGGAGCAGCTAACAGGCATGAGAAGTTCAAGACCATTTCTCCAATGTGTCTCTCTGATCACAAAGCACTGTGGGAACATCTGTAAGGGAGCTTGACCTTGTTTAGCGGAAAAACTAAGGGATGATCACCGTTACAGCCAAATAGCTCTCATGGGTTGGGAGATGCTCCCAAATGTGGTGAACAAATTCAGGGAGCTGGAAGTAAGACTTCTTGCAAAATTCTGCACGCATAAGATAGGTGCTTAATAAATGATTGTTGAATGAATGAATGAATGAATGAAGTGGAGGGCAGTCTAAATAAATTTTACTTGAATGACTGACTCCAAGCTCTCCTTCTTCCCAGTTCAGTGATCCTGCCAGGATGCCTCAAGCTCTCAGTGAGATGTAGTGGGAAGAGGGTTGTATTTTGAGCCTGTAGACACGGGTGCCAATTCTTGTTCTGCTGTCAAATATCTGTGTGACTTGGGACAAGTCACTTGGCTTTTTAGGGGCACCTGTTTACTCAACTGTAAAACGAGGAGCTTGGATTAAATGGTCACTAAGGTCCCTTCTGCTCCAAATCCTATGATTGTGAATTTAGAACAGAAAAGAAAATAAAATTGAATGAAAGTTGAAAAATAAATAAATCCTGTGACTTGTGACTAAGAGAAAAATACAGGGGAAAGAGCATGACCTCTCTGGAGTCAGAGAACCTGACCTCTGACTTTTTCTACCTATGTGACCTTGGGCAAGATGCTTCATTTCCCTGAGCGTCAGAATCGTCATCTGTAACATGAGGAGGCTGGACGATGAGATGGTCTCCAAGGTCTCTTCCAGCTCTAGATTTATGAAGCTATGATGTGTTAATTGCAGTGTGCAGGTGAACTCACTTGAATGTCGGAAAATTTAGGTCCAGAGAATGGAATGATTATTTGCCTTACAAAAAGATGTCCCTTAAAATCCAGAATGAAATATGCCTTTTTGGACATGGCCAATGTGGGAATTTGTTTTGCTGCACTATGCATGCTCATTGATAGGGTTTTGTTTCTGTTTTTCTTTTTTTGGCTGTTCAGTTGCAGAGGGGGAAAGTGGGAAGGAAAGATCAATGTACAAATAAATGAATAATTTTTTAAAAAAATTAAAATGTTTAGTAGAATTTTTCCAAATAACCTTTAAATTCAATGCAAAAAAAATACACTATGCATTTATTAAGTGCCTACTATGTGCAGGACACTGAGGATACAAAGACAACATCGATCAATAAGCATTTATTATGTACCTATTATGTGCTATGTCTGGTGCAAGGTACTGGTGGTAAAATTGCAAGAATGATACAGCTCTGCCCTCCTTTTTCTTTGTTCAGTGATAAACTTCATACACATGATAGGTCTGTTGTTTTGTAGGCACATCAATGGGCTTTGGTTTACAATGACTCAATGTTCACCCAGCTTTTCAGGAAAGTAACCAAGTCTGCAAAGTGCTTGGCACACCCAACTTATGTGCTCCTTACAATAACCAGGGAAGTAGGGGCTATAGGAATTATTGTTCCTATTTTATAGGTGAAGAAAGTGAGTCTCAGAAAGATTACATGACTTGCCCATCTTACATAACTACCAAGTATCAGGGACAAGACTTGAATGACTACTCTTGATTGTAGGTACAACCTGACTCTTGGTCTAACCCTTTTTCTATTCTACCTCACTGTGTATTATGCAGGATCATGGGATGATCGAATTTAGAACTGGAAAGGACTTAGAAATTATGGAGTCCAATACTCCCATTTTACAGATGAAGAAAATGAGTTGAAGTGGTTCACTCAGGGGCCCAGAGGTGGTAAGTAGCAGAGCTTGCACCTAAATCATTATCCTCTCACTCCAGATCCATTACTCCTTCTGCTCTACCACCAAACCTTCCAGCCACCTGTAGTAGTAATAGTGTTGGTGATGGCAGCAGCGTCATAAGACAGAGTCTGTGAAATGGCTAATGGAACCAAAAGGCCTTCCATGGGCAGTGGCCAGTCAGACTCAACTGACAAAATGGTGACAAAGAAGTTGAACAAATGGCTGAGTTAAGCAGATGTGGTTACTATAAAGGAGGGGCTCTTGGTAGTGACATAAGATCAAGTCATCACCGTGAGCAGTTACAGAATAAAAGCTCCCCAAACACAGACACCTAGATTAAGAATTCAAAACCATATGGAGAGGACAAAACAGGAAAATGATAAATGTTGGAGATGTGGGAAAATTGGAACACTAATGCATTGTTGGTGGAGTTGCGAAATGATCCAGCCGTTTTGGAGAGCAATTTGGAACTATGCCCAAAGAGCTATAAAATGTGCATATCCTTTGACCCAGCAATAGTGCTTCTAGGGCTGTATCCCCAAGAGATCATAAAAATGGGGAAAGGACTCACATGTACAAAAATAGTTATAGCAGCTCTTTTTGTGGTGGCAAAGAATTAGAAATTGAGGGAATGCCCATCCATTGGGGAATGGCTGAACAAGTTGTGGTATATGAATGTAATGGAATACTATTGGGGTATAACAAATGATGAGCAGGTAGACTTCAGAAAAATCTGGTAAGACTTGTATGGACTAATGCTGAAGGAAGTGAGCAGAACCAGGAGAACATTGTATGATGAGTAACATTGATAGACTTAGCTCTTCTCAGCAATGCAAGGATCTAAGACTTCTCCAAAGGTCCCATGATGGAAAATGCTATCCTCAACCAAAGAAAGAACTATGGAGTTTGAATGCAGATCGATGCATGCTATTTGCTCTTTTTTTTTCTTCTGTTTGTTTTGTTTTCTCTTTCTTGTGGTTCCTCCTATTGGTTCTAATTCTTCCTTACAACATGACTAATGTGAAAATATGTTTAGTAGGAATATATGTATAGCCTATATCAGATTATGCCACGTCTTGGGGAAGGAGGTGGGAAGGAAGGGGGAGAAAAATTTAAAACTCAAAAGCTTATGGAAATGATTGTTGATAAATTAAAATAAATTAATAATTAAAAAAAACATATGGAGGGGCAACTAGGTGGCACAGTGGATAGAGCATTTGGCCCTAGAGTCAGGAGGACCTGAGTTCAAATCTGGCCTCAGACACTTGATGCTTACTAGCTGTGTGACCCTGGGCAAGTCACTTAACTCCAATTGCCTCAACAAAACAAAACAAAACAAAACAAAAAACTCACGTGGAAACAAGGAGTATATATCATCCTTGCTGTCTTATCTGCCACTGAAATCATCTTAAAGATGCTTTCAGTGAGTCTATCTATGGAGGACAAACTTGCATCTCAACATTATTTTTTAATTATAAAAAAACATCATTTTATACACTTTCTCAAAAGTCTGTGGAACATTATGTGTGTGTGTGTGTGTGTATATATATATTTTAAGAGATTAGTGAGTTGTCCTAAGACTTTTTGTTCTGAGCTCCATTGAATAAAAGATGAGAACAAAATGATAATAATAATAATTATAATAAACTCTCATTTCTGATACTCTTTAAGGTTTACAAAGCATTTTCTGTACAACAATCATGTGTGACATGGTAGTCCAAGTATTCCTGTTTTACAGATTTGGAAACTGAGGCCAGGAGAGAGCCAATAACTTAAAACGAGGCATACCCACATCGTTCATCACTTTCCCCTTCCTACCATTTTTTTACAGAGGAATGAGGCTGTTAATATCAAAGCAAGAACTGGGGAGTTCATCCATAGTGAAATGGGAGCTGGAGAAGGTAAGTCTTTATTGGGAAAATGCTCCTCAAGCAACAGAAATAGACATTTAGAAATGCAGGATAGACAAAAGAGAGAAATGGCTTCCAAACTCTTATAGGTAGTAGGTGGTAGAGCTGAGATTTGAACTCAGGTCTTCAGACCCCAGGTTTAATGTTCTTACCACACCATGGCTGCCACTTTAACAAAGTACTTTGTGAAGAATTAAACTTGCTGCAATAAGGGAAGAACAACCATACCCATGTGGCTGCCATGTTATAGGACACATGGTAGGATCCTAGAATTTCAAAATAACAAAACCTATGATTCTTTCATCCACAGGCTAGCTCACTGTGAGATATTGGGCAAATCATTTCCTCTTTCTGGGCCTAAGTTTCTTCATCTACAAAATAAAGGGGATGGGTTATGTGATCTCAGAAAGTTAGGTGGCACACTGAATAGATTTCTGGACCTGAAATCAAGAAGACCTGAGTTCAAATGTGATCTCAGATACTAGCTGCACAATTCTAAGCAAATCATCTCTTCCTGTCCCAGTTTCTTCATCTGTAAAACAGAGATAGTAATAGAACCTATTTCCCAGGGTTGTTGTATGAGATAATATTTGTAAATCACTTTGCAAACCATAGTGATATATAAAAGCTAGCTGTTGTTATTGTTGTTATTTATGGTTATTTTTTCTAAAATTTGAATTTCTCTGTGTCAGCTATTTTGTATTTCTGTGTTTTAGAAGTTGGAGGCAGGTAGCAAATGGCTACGTTTGCCTTCGGGCCTGATCATTCACTCTGATATTCAGTATTGCCGTAGGTGAGTTCTCATTATCTGTTCATACCTCAGTTTTCCCATTTGTAAAATCAGTTTGATGACCTCTCACAAAAAGCTGGGGGTGTAGATGCCAGGTGATGTCGACAAAGCAATTCTACATTCCCTAGGAGAGAAAGTCCCGCCTGGTCTAATGGGAAGAGGGCTGGGCTCCAAGTCAGAGAGCTCAGGCCTGGGCCTGGCTCTCCCATGAATACCTTAATAATAAGAATAATTCTTTACATTTGTCTGACACTTTGCCGTTTCAAAGTGTGTCCACATTCATCATCTATGAGGCACAGAACTGGAGAGGCAGATGAGAGACTGAGACCTGATGTACTTCCCCTGGACTTCGCGTGGACATAGGCAGGGCAAGGATTATCACCACCAAGGAAACCAAGACTGAGTGAAGTGACGAGCATGAGGATACGTGGGGCAGTAAACCGAGGGTCGATCAGTCAACAGGCATTGATGCAATACTTACTATGTTCTAGTCATCGTGCTGGAGCTGGAGAGACAAATTAAAAAAAGGTGAAGCCATCTCTACCCCTCCAGAAGCTTCTGTTTTATGTGATCCAGAACTACAGCCCGGGCCTTCTCATTCCCAGGCTAACGTTCTTCCCACTACACTGCACTGCCTTTCTGTGTGGCCTTGAGCCAAGCCTTTCGTGTGCCTGGGCCTCACATTCCCTTTCTATAGGTTGAGGTTAACTACTTCCTATAAGAGGAGGATGTTTTAGAGATTAAATGAATAATGACGACAACAACAATGGTAATAACTAACATTTGTATAACACTTTGAGGTTTGCAAAGCACTTTATAAAGCACTTGTATTTTCATTTTATCCTCACAACAACTAGGGAAGGTAGATGCTACTATTATTCACATTTTACAGGCAAGGAAATTGAGGCCATGCTAGGTTAGGTGACTGGCCCACAGTCATATGGTTCCTGAGGTAGGATTTGAATTCAGGTCTTCCTGACTCCAAGTCTAGTACTATATACACTGTGTCATCTAATATGAATCCATCCAAAAATTCTTTGCTGTGCGTATACTTTCCATTTATGTAGATTGAAATTTTTCCTATGCATCTGTAGATGCTCATGAATTGTTGTGGTTGAAAAAATTTCTCACTCGTGGCCAGCCTAGTGATGGACCTCTCCAAACCTGGATAGGTTGGTGCTTAGACGATGGACATGTGGTCCCACATTGGCCTTGGACTAGAAGCCTATCCTAGTAAAATCTGCTAAAGCTTATACTCTATAGGTCTATACATTCCAGTAGCCTTTGAGAACCTAGAGTCAGTCCCAAACCATTAGGAGGTATCAGAGTAAGAGATTAATGAAGAAATAACTCTATATCATACTATTAGAATATATAATACTATTATATTATATTATAATATGATTATAAAGATACCATTATAAATATATTATTATATAATTATGAGTCTATTATTATGCTGTTACTATATATTCTATTCTACTGCTATTGTATTAATATATAATACTATTATTTCAGAGCAATACTATTATTAGTTTATATTTATGCAGTACTTTAAGCTATCCTCTGGGAAGTATTTATTTGTTAGCATAAAGAGTTCTTGGTATGGAAATTACCTCCAACAATGTAGATGGCTCTAATTTATTGTCTAATATATTGTCTCAGATTGTTGCTTGGGGCTCTAAGAGGTTAAGTAATTTGCCCAGAGTTGTATCTATTGTATCAAAGCTTGCTGTTGACCTGTTGCTTTGCTAGTGTTAGACAAAGTCTTCTTGATTCCAAGGCCAGTCCTCCACCATTATGTCATGATGTTTCTCTAGTTTGCCTTCCTATCTTCTCTGCCATTCCACTTCAAGAATTATGATACTCTTTTTACATATAAGGAAACTGAGGCTCAGAGAGGTGGTGATTTGCCCAAGGTCACATGGCTGTTAAGTGGCAGAGCTGGGATTCAAAACCAAATGTCCTGAACTGCTAGCTAGCCCAGTATTCTTTTCACTACCTCCCACTGCCTCTTTGAGAGTGAAAATGCTATAGAAAACTCAAAAGAAATGTAGTGAGGACACTCTGTTTAATAAAATAAAAAATAAATTGTGACTTTTAAAAGAATGAATTTTCTAAGAGTGAGGTTGATTAATCAATCCACAGGTATTTAGTAAGCACTTACTTAGTGCCAGACACTGGCACACAGAAACAAAAATGAATCAGTCCCTGCCCTCAAGTAGCTTATGTTCCATGGGAGGTGCTACTCTTCTGACTAGGAACTAATAGAATGGTTCTTTTTTCCTTACCTAGTTCAGTTTTCCTAATCTTCCTTCAGAGTAATGACAAATTTGGGAAGCCATCTCAGAGCCATACCAAGGAATTTTGTACGTAGGGCAAATAGCATAAAACACGTCTAGGACACGCAGCATGAAATGTATCTTCAAATATCACTGGGGAGGCTACCACAAATGGGGCAAGAAGATCACAGTAAGCTGGGGAAGAGCTCAGCTGGTCACTTCATATTTTAACTTTTCTTACTAGCTAAGTGCTAAGATTTTTAATTTAATTTTTTTTTAACGAACCCGAAGGACTGCACATGCCATCAGTATCCTCCAAATTTTGGTACCCTGAGGCAAAAGCTAGATGGCCCCACCCTGGTTATGGTTCTGGGACCTCCCCCAAAGTGACTCATTTTCTTCAACTGAAGCTACTGGAAATTTAAAGAAGCCCGGGTAACTCTCCTTTATCTTAAGTGAAAGGGTCACACCTAAGAGGATACTGGTCTCCTCATCCCTTCTGTTCCTGCAGGAGGCTCTTTCGTTTCCATCTTCTGGGCCTGGCAGAGAACAGACATCTAATTTTCATTCTTTGCCTCTCTCGCTTTAATTTCCTTCAATTGTTCTCCTGATTAGTTCAGCCTGGGTATCTCCCCACTCCTGGACTCTGGCTCTCCCCATTCTCTGCAGCCTTTTGAATTGGGCTCTGTGCCTTTTCTAACTCTGTTTCCTTGTTCTTCCTTCAGGCACAAATACAGATTGGCCCATCCCTGCAGCTCTTTTTCTTCCATTCCTATGCTGGAGCTGTGCAGCTGCTATACAGTTCAGCAGCTTCCTCTGGAAGCTCAGAGTAGGTTTTATTTCCTCCACAGCAACCCAAGCCGTCTTTTCCTTTGCAATAGAAGCTGCAGCACTGCCTCTTTGTGTGAACTTAGGCAAGTCACTTCATTTTGCAAGGGTGTCAGTTACTCCATCTGTAAAATGGGAGGGGTTTGATTACATGACTTCTCAGATCCTTTTTGGTTCTTACATTCTGTCTTCATACATTTTAGGTTCTAAGGTTCTATACTTACATAAGGTATATGATGTGGTCATTTTCAGAGCATATCCCATTACAACAGACTGAATGGTGCTGTTCAAATTGGAGAGGGAAGGATGTTTTAAATAGGTTTTTATTGATGACATTTTTAATATCACCATAATTTCTCCAAGTATCATTCCTCTTCTCAGAGAGATATATCCATATAACAAATAGTGTTTAAAATGTTTAGTACAGTGCTTAGGAGAGTATCCAGTACACAGTAAGTGCTTATAAATGTTTGTTGACTGCCAAAAAAAGAAAGAGAAGAAAAAAAAATCAGCATAACTGGTTTTCCCGGAGTCTGTGGACCTCCCATCTTTGTAAAGGGGTGGGGTAGAGCTGTCTTCTCATATCTCTTCTTTCAAGTCATGCTTGTTCTTTTACATTTTTTAACATTCGCTTGGTGGTCATTCTTTCCATTTATATTGTTATTGTGTATATTGTTTCCCTGACTGTTTATTCACTCTGTGTTAGATCATGGAGATCTTTTCATGCTTCCATATGTTCATTGCAGTTGTCTTTTCTTACAAAACAGTAATATTCCAGTGCCTTCATGTACCACAATTTAATTAACCAATCTCCAACTGATGGACATCTATTTTGTTTTCAATTCTTTGCAAAACTCTCTAGGTCAAAGGATTATGGACATTTAATCACTTTATCTGCATAATTCAAAATTGCTTTCCAAAATGGTTGTACCAAAGCACAGCTCCACCAACAATGCACCAGTGTGCCCACAACCCCTCCATATTGACTATTCCTATCTTTTGTCATATTTTTAGTTTTCAGGGAGTGAGGTGACACCTCAAGGTTGTTTTGATTTTTGTGTTTCTCTCTCTCTCTCTTTTTTTTTTAGTGAGCTGGAACATTCTTTCATATGGTTGTTAATGGTTTGCAATTCTTTTGACAACTGTTTTTTTTTTGTTTGTTTGTTTGGCAATTGGGGTTAAGTGACTTGCCCAGGGTTACACAGCTAGTAAGTGTCAAGTGTTTGGTCTGAGGTCAGATTTGAACTCAGGTCCTCCTGACTTCAGGGCCAGTGCTCTATCCACTGCGTCACCGATCCACCCCGAGAACTGTTTGTTCATCATGGATGTGTCCTTTGGTCACTTATCTATTAACCAATTGGTTGTTGTGCTTTGTTCTCGAAGAGGACCCAAATGACATCACTATGCTAGAGTCAAGTTTCAATGTGTCTGACTGTGGCTGATCAGACCAACACAAGCTCGGAATGCTCTACTGCAGGTCGGGCACGAATAGCCCATGTGAACATTTGGGGTGGGTTTTGTTTTTGAGCTAGTTCAATTCTGCTTTGCTTATAGAGCACAGTACCTTCCTGATGTGGGCACTTATCTGTTGGGGAACAGCTTTTGGTCTTAAACATATCTGTTCATTTTTTCTGCGTCTTGCTACAAAACCATTATCAGAGAAAGTTGGTAGAAAGAGTTTGTCCAATCTGACCACTTTCCTTTTTATTCTAGGCATGATCATTTTGTTTGTGCAGAAGCTTTTCAGTTTTTTGGAATCAAAGTTATCTATTTTATCTTTTCTAATTGATTCGATTATTTGTTTTGTTCAAGTTCTTCTGTTAAACTGGAAATTGGTTGTATCAAATACTCTATCAATAAATGGGTAATTGTCTGGAGCACGGGAATTTTGGGGTAAGTATAGATACCCCTTTATTAAGAGTGTGCATTACCCCTCTTCCCCTCCCCACACATCTCCAGAGGCTGGTGACACACAGAAAGACTGAGCTAGAGGTTGAGGGTTGCTCTGAAGGCTACTGGCCCTTATCGTTTCCTGTGACCAGGAGGTAAGAGATTTCTATAGAGAAGCAGATGATATAATTATGTGGGAACAAATGGGTACCAATCAATAGCATAGGACCAGAGCTCTAGAGCAGGAATGAGCCTTGAAGACCATATGATCCAACCCCTTCATTTTAAAATGAGGAAACTGAGATTCTCGTAAGTCAAGTGACTTGTTCAGGGAGTTGCTTCATCTTTAGATCAAAAAGTAGCACTTGTCCCTCAATAAGGGGACGATGCACATATGCATTCCGTGTCTTCCATGCAACATCAGACCCTTCCTCTTCCCTTCTCTTTCTTTCTCCCCCCCCCATGAGATAAAATAGCCTGAACTAGATGGAATTACTTCTTTCAGAGGTCATAACATTGTAGATTTAGATGTGGAAGAGACCTTAGAGGTCATCAAGTCCACCCCCTTCATAAGTGACTTGCCCAGGGTCAAACAGTTAGTAAGTGTCTAAAGTAGGACTTGAATTCAGGTCTTCCTTACTCCACACCTAGCACTTTATCCACTTGACCACCTAGCAACTTCCTCAGATGAGGAAACGGAGGCTTCAAAAGGTAAGGTAGCTAGGTGGCCCAGTGGATAGAGTCCAGGACTATACCCTCAAGATCCGAGTTCAAAGCTTACCTCAGACAGCCCTGGGTGAGTTATTTAAGCTCTCTCA